CAGAGAACACAATTGAATGGACTATTAAATTGGCGTAATGCAGTGAAAAGTCCTGGAGAAAACCTAGTTTATTCTGATTATTTGCGTCATTTCTTTTAAAAAAAAAAAGACATTTGTGGGCGATTGGCGTTATTCGGCAAAATTATTCTGTTATTTTCATTATTTTATTATTATTATTATTTTTTTTTTTTTTGCCTTGTGTTTCATTCTATTTTTTTCTTTTTTTTTTTTTTAAAAAAAAAAAAAAGAATTAGGTAAACAAAAGCGATCGGTTGAATTGGCATTAAGCGGTAGAATCTCCCGGGAAAAAACAAGTTTATAGTTATTTTGCCAATGTATGTTATGTATGTATGCATCATTGAAAAATTTTTTTTTTTCTTAAATAAAATAAAAATTTTTTTTTAGTCAGGCGACACGGTAGAAATGAATGAAAACGCCGACTCTTTTTTTTTTTTTTAAAAAAAAAAAAAAATAAAATAAAATAATAACATTAATTTTCCAGTCAGTTCCTTTTTTGACCAATTCTCAAAGATTATAATGTAAGATCATATCAGTTCTAAAAAAATTATGTTACTTTTATGACAAAGAAAAAGTCAAAAAGTAAGTTACAAAACGCGTTTAGTGAAACAATCGATCAAAAGGAAAATCTTGCAAATTATTCTAAATCAAATGATTTAATAAAAGATGAAAAAAATAAATTATAAAGAAAATATCAGATAGATCAACTTCAAAAATCACAAATTCCAGTGTTAAGTATTCTATCAAAGAACGAAGAAACTAAATTTCAAAAAGAATATCAAAGTAACAGGGAACACACCGTGGAAGAAACCGAGTTTTTATTATAAATTCAATGGTCTAAAACAAGATTACTATCTAACTGAAGGTCCTTCCGAAGATTTTTTTAATAATAATGACGATATAAATGTCATTTGAATTTTATATTGTTTCATTTACCTATATTTACGTAACCTCAACAAAATTTTTACAATTATAAATTTGTTATGAAAATGATATATAACTAAAATTTGAAATTTTTATTCATCGTACTATATGGGCGGAAATCTAAAATTTTTTTTATTGGTCCACTTGACTGATCATATTCATATGCAAAAAATTAGTTTAAGAACTAAAAGTTAACAAAATTTTCAGATATCCCCTTTTTTATTGACGCCCACCCATATATTGAATGATAGTAAAAAGTCATTTATTTCTTAAAAAAAAAAAATAATAATAATAAAATAAAATAAAGAATCCTTACGTGATTTTTTTTATATATATATTTATTTATATTAGAAAGAATTTTTTGCTTGGTTAGTTCAATGTGCTCATATTGAGAACTGGACCTGTAAAATAATTTCAATATTTCAGTTAAATTGATTCGTTGAATTTAATAATTGTGGGATTACATAAATTCTAAATATAATGTCCTTCCAAATTCATATATTACATGATTCCGGGCAAAAAAAAATTTTGTGATGCTAATGAAAGTTCTATAAACTACGAATTTTTCAATAATGAGAACATTACTAATAATCAGATATTAATAACATAATGATCATCAGTTAGATTTTTTAACAATCATATCAACTTAGAAGTATAATTATAAAAATTAAATATGTCGTGTATAATTGCGTATCAAAACAAAATAAAATAATTAGTCTTTCAAATATTGTGGCATTGCTTAATTGTCGATAAATAACGATTATTTAAAAGTGAAATGGCAAATGGCAAGTAATCTAGAGGCGAAAGCAAACCATGTAAAGGGATTGATTTTAATCTCTATGAACGTATTTCGTTCAAAAGGGCTACGCCGATCCATACTGTATTTAACTTGCGGACATTTAAATTTGTTACCTTTACCTTTCAATAAAAATTCGGATCGGTCTTTCTTCAAACTTAAGTTATATTTGCTTTCCTGTATGTCAACAATAGAACTTATAATTTTTAGATTTAGACATCACAATAGCGTTTTATCACGCGATTAACGTCATTCGCACATTCACACAAGATCATAATTTTGTAATAATATTAGTATATGAAAAATATAAAAAAGTATAATTTATTGCAATTATATTTGATATTTAGCCGTTGGCAAAAATTAAAAATATCAGTTCCTAATAGACTGACCAATAACTATTATACAGGTTGCAAGTAAATATTGATATCAGAACGCGGTGATTTTTTTTGGTTAAAAAAATATATTTGAACCGGACGAGCTCATATTTTCCATATATGGTCACATACATAAAGTTTACCACAATATTGTCAAAAAAAAAAAAATAGATTGTATACGCCCCCCCTCTTATCAATCTCTTTTTTTTTTTATATTGTAAAACCTGGGCTCTGATGTCTTTTAAAGTAATTCTCATCGACGACTTAATTTGAAAGTATTAGCCAATAAATCGACGAGCTGATTTTCATCCAAATATGGTAAAGTAATTATATGTCATAATTTTTGTGGATGACTAATTTCAATTGTCAATAAAAAAGCATTGTATGCGGAAAAAAATTTTTAAAAAAAAGGAAAAAAACAAACAACGTTAGCGCCAACAAAATAAAAAAAAAAAATTTTTTTTCAAAAAAAAAAAATATTATACATATCTGAAAAATTTTATGTTCTGCATTGTAATGCGCGAGACGATGTTTCGCAAAGATGTTTTCCCACCCCACTCACTCATAAATTTCTTATTAAAGGAATCCGAGAAGAAAATTTGTATAAATACGAGAATTCATTTAGCACGTAAAAAGTTAAAACTATCAATAAAGATAATACTACTTTAATTCCTCTTAACATTTTTATCTTTAAATTTCTTAAAATAATGAACGGTAATAATATTATACCCTTCCATTTTCTTGAACCTGAAACATCAAACCGAACAATAAAGGAGAAACCAAAAAAAAAAGAGCCAAATATGTTCATTCTATTTCGTAAAGAAATGATGAAATATAAACCATATAATAATATGCCAATGACCGAATACAGCAAATTCGTGTCAGAAAGATGGAAAAATTTATCTGAAAGAGAGAAGTTGTATTTACAAAGGAAATATCAAATAAATCGAGATCAAGAATTACGACGAGAACATGTGACTGTTAGCGATCAATGCAACGTAATTCATGAGAGAGGGCACAAACATATTGGACGATTACAAAAAAATGTAACCGACAAAATTGAAATTGCTTCGAATCATCACGTGTTAAGTAATCGATCCGAAACCGACCAAATTGTAGCGTCTCCTAAAGTTGTTGCTTCTGGCCTGATTCGAGACTGTTTTTTCACCGAAAGTCCTTCGGACTTTATTAATGATGATATCTTAAAATTCAAGAAAATTCATTTGTCGGAATTATATTACGATCAATCACGACCGAAATCACTATCGCTATAAATCATTTTATTGACAAAATAATCGTCGTCGTCGTTTTTTTTTTTATTTTATTCAAGCAATTTGAAATCGAGTCAGTATTTTTCAATTAAACGCTTATCTAAGAGAAACCAATAAATCGGAAAATAAATTAATAACGAAAAATTAAAATAACGAACTTAACGAAAATAACGAATTTACAACGCTACAATATGAAAAATTATGAAGTTGAAATAGCGAAGGAGATAATATCAATATCGCAAGGGAGAAAGGGAAAGGATTAAGGTGTATATTTGCAATATAAAGGAATGCGTAATTGTACATGCCACTCTTCTCTAAGAACCTCAAATCCCAGAATATATCAAGATATATCAAGCGTCGCACTGGGGCGCGCTTTCAACTAATTAAATCAAAACTATGTATGGTCCTATAACAAAAGTTACTATTGAAGAATTTTTTTTTTATATTAAGCTATTTTATTGTATAATTTAAATTATTTTATAATAAATTTACTATTAACAAAGCTATATTTTATTTCTTTAATAACTCTGGATCCTTCTTATCATTATCATTTCAGATTTTTCGAAAATACTCCAAATATCCGTCTCTTTCACAAAATAGATCGCTTTTTTTAAAAAAATTCATTAATACTCCGAAATTAATAAATTAAACCTTCTAAAGAAAATAAAACTTTTTTTTACGTGAGTTTTGAAAAAAACGATGTATTTTATGTTTCTTAAAGTTATCATGTACCCATTCAACTTTTACTGCGTTACTTGAATGTTAATAGAGTATAAGTTATTAAATTTTAAAGATTTCGGTTATTTTATTAGAATTTTATTAGAAAAATGGCTCGCAAAGCCCGAAGTTAAAAATGATCGTCAAAAAATCTCTATTTACTATAGGACTATATATAGTTTTGTTAAACTATGTTTACGGCGCACCCCAATTATACATGATCAGAAATTGATTTGGATCTATATCGAAATCTTAGATTAAATTACAATTATAGACCGATCACTAGAACCAATCCAAAAAAAAAAAAAAAAAAAAAAAAAAAAAAATTACAATTATAGGGCGACCGATCACTAGAACCAATCCAAAAAAAAAAAAAAAAAAAAAATTAAATTACAATTATACTAACCTCTGCTTTTTCTGTCTCAATTGCCATATTTAATTATCCAAATTAACAAATTCATAAGGAATATATAGGATCTTTGCAATAGAAGGGGAAAAACTGCCAGAAAAAATCATTTTACATTTATATACAAATATGATTTTTAAATCAAAATATATTCAGATTTAGCATTAACCCATTTTTTATCTTTTTCAAGCCGTTTCCCCTTTTCTATTGCAAAGGTCCTATATTATCCTTAAAATTCGAGTCGAATCTGAGTTTAACTATAATTACACTGCCACATATAATATTTGGCCGTGGAGTAAATTTGCAACAGCAAAAGTTTAATTATTGACGGTTCAAATTTTAAACCCAACTTGATTCGACCTTTACGAAGCACTCATGATACGCTGGTATAACCCGATTTTAAATCGAAATCAGGTTAACCAAACAACGATTAAATCTAACTCAAGTCCGTCCTAAGAAAGATTTATACAATAATTTACTTAATTAATCTAGTTGGTTATAGTCAGTCTACATGGAGACACGATAAAGTTTGAAAGTGTAACATGAATTTTTTACTATTTCAAGATTTTCTGACGTCTCTTCTCAAACGGTGAAGGAGGAATTTATTAGCTCAATATTTCGGACGTCTCTCTTCTTTTAAAGTGAAGGGAGGAAAATTATTATGTCAAGATTTCGGACTCGTCAACCTTATTCTTATAACAAAGCAGATTTTCGGGTTTATATACACAATTTCTAAATACCAATTTTTTCTAAATTAAAATAAATATAACGAATATAATTAAAAATAATTAATATAACTAATATAAAAAATATAATAAAAATAACAATTATATTAAATTTAATAAATATATATAATATAAAAACGAAAACTATCATAATTATTTTAACACTTATAATTCATATAATTAATTTAAATGACTTTTTTGACATTTTCAATCTTTGCGCAGTTACAGCACCATTCGTAAATGCCCGATTTCTTGCAAAACCGGTTTTTAATAACTTGACAGCGTCAATAATTTGCAGCATCGTAAAAAGTAAGGTGTATAAATTTCGAAAAGAAACCGATAGAATAAGCAGTCTTACAGGAAAATGTCCTTATAAGGGTTGTAGAAAATAATATAAAACTAGGTGAGTTACATGTGGAGAAGCACCAATGAAAATTGGTATTGGACATCAGCTGTAATTAATTCTCCGCGAATGAGTTTTTTTTTCTTTACCTTTATAACCTGATCCGAAATAAATGATTGAAGTAGATGGATTCTTCGTCCGTTCATACACTTGATAGTATGTAACTCAAAAAAATATTTATGTAATATTTTAGCTTTTGTTGTAATCAGGAATACGCCAATTAGCAAAATTTAGGATGGTGTAACATCTTTTAAAATAACCAACACCTCGTAAAAAATAATTATTTTATTGACCACATAAAAAATTTTTTTTTTTTTATAAATATTCGTTTGTTTTTAACTATTTACTTTTCACTGTTACTATAATCAATACACATATTATGTACTGAAATAAAACTTTAACTTTTTGCTTATATTTCTTTAGCAATATGGCAACTAATAAACCATCTATACGGATTAACTTTTAAAGAAAATACAAGAATTCAAGACAAACAAAATCCGAAACTTTAATGCTCGCGACGATCATTACCTTCAAAATTCAATTATTAATGAGATATATGGATGATTTTCTTTCATTTCGTAATTGTAGAAATCATGTTTCAACCAATTTCTCATGTCGATTTCGTTCATTAATCAAATATTTTACTTTAAATGCCTAAAGAAAATTATTTATGATTTTTTTGCAAATATATATATATATATATGGAATACTACAATGGAATGTTTCAAACTTTTGTTAACAATTCTTCATACTGGATGATAATGTTATAATATGATAATCTGGACCTGTCAGAAGAGCTGATGAATGGAGAAACGACTTGGTCAACTTATCTCTGAACCATCATAAGTCTCACTTATTTAACGCAACTATGGAAGTGTTAAATGTCTATTGAAATAATCTTTTATATGATATCTAAAGCTTACTGGTAATAATCAAAATACGAAGTAATTGGGTCAGATTTTAATAAAGAAAGGTTTTCGTATCGTATGAAACAGATTATGTATATTTATAATATTAGATAAAAAAAAAAAAGAGAGATGAAAGAAATGAAGATAATTATAGTATGGTGAATCTAACTGAATAAACAGTCTTTGAACTGGACAATTGAAATTGATTGAAAAGTTATTTATATTATTTTTAATTGAATAAATAATTTATCAATTTTCAAAATATTATCAACAATCTTCCTACTTCTCTTAGATAAATATTTAGGTCATTACGATATATTACGGTACTAAAAGATTAGCGATTGGAATCACACCCATTAAATCGGTTTGATCGGTTCAGAATTTGACAACACGGATGTCTGATTATTAATTCGGGTTAATCAATTGCATGTCAAAGTATTAATATTTAATTGAATAACAAGTTTAATTTGCATATATATCGCATGTGCTAAGAGATAATTTTTAAGGCGTAAATCAACTAACGAGTTTTCAACTTGTTAAAAATTTAAATTATGGAAGACATTCATGAGATTCTTCTGAAACGTCCCATTGAATTTTATTTAATTTTCAAGTATTTACATGTATCCTACCCGTTCACTTACCTCTAGAAATAGCCTTCAATGATGAATGATGAACCTTCCGAAGATATTCCTTTTGGCACACATTCAAAAGAAAATAATAACATATTGACTTTAGTAATAGCATTCTTCGATAGCTCCAGAAATTCCTCGCAAGCACGTGTAATAAAAAAAACCCCAAACGTAAAAGTTTTGAGATCAATAAAATCAACATTTCAATAAAATATATAAAATGATGCGGGACACCCGAATGATAAATTATGAGATGGTTCAAATCTCTATAAAAAATTACAACGTATTAAGTTTGATAATTATATTAGAAAGTCAAAGGTATTAAGTGTCAAAATATTATTGGAAATAAAAAGATTTTTTACAATAATTCAGTTGTCATTGCTTAAGCTTCTCTTCTTCACTACAGGTTCTCGGAGGAAATTAGGAGACTTTAAAAATTATAGTATAGAATATTAAACTATTCCTTTTTATTTTTATAATTTTTAAAAAAAAACGCTTAACAATGTTTGCAATCGAATTAACTTGTAAATTCAATGATTGATCACAATTTTTGGGCGACTTTTATGCTACTCGAACAGAATGCGGACCATCTTTTAAGCCAAAATTTTTATTAACCAATATTTTTAGTACTGAAATTTATTTTTGGGATATGATGAAAATTTATAAGATCGCGGTGAAAAGTTAAGAAATCGTACACGAGTTTATTTATTCGATCATTCTTTTGTAATTTCAACTAAGAATCACTAGAACGAAATTAAAATTTAGATTTTTATGAGAAATGAAGTAAACGTTCTTCATGGTTATGGTGATTTAAGAAATAAGTTCTTATATTCTATCCAAACAATGATCATATATGAAAAAAACAAATGCATTTCAAAATTTACACATTTGTTATATAAACAACTTCCAAATAATATAAAGTAAGAGATCGAACTATATCTGCTATCTTCAGAAGCTCGTGCTGCATATTGAATCTTGAGGGAGTAAATCTATTAGATATTTTCAATTTTATCTTATTTAAATGTTACATGAATATTTAATCTTTTATTAAGGGAATTAAAATAACTTAGGACTAATAAATTAGATTTCATGTTTTATTGGAATAAGATAATAATAGAAAATCGAAAAAATAAATATTTTTTAAATTGCATTTTAAGTTTAATGATATTGTAAAGATATTTATTTTTGACACATTTTTGAACCACTTTAAAAAAT